CCCCCCCCAAACAGAAGGAGAAACAACAACCTCGTATACCGGTGAATATGCAGATCATCCGTCTCCCTGGTGATATCGGGGTGCAATATCTTCAAATGCTGTCGAATAGCTGTCAAACTCATACGACTGGCCCCTGAGTGTGCAGTCTCATCCTGTGGCCTGAAACTAGTGAGCTACTGCAGCATGTCCAAATACTGCCCACGCGTCATCTCTCTCATGGCCCGAGGCAGTGCAATGGGCAGTCCATCAACATGCATCCCATATAAAACCTTCACGTCCTGCAGCGTGATGGTGGCCTCGCCAATGGGCAGGTGGAAAGTGTGCGTCTCCGGTCGCCACCGCTCTATCAGGGCCGTGATCAAAGACCAGTCGAGCTGCAGCCGTCCGATCTCCAAAATCCTGTAGAAGCCCGTATCCCACAGGCGCTGGACTACACGGGGATGGAGATCTCTGTCCTTCATAAAATCTCATATGTCCTCCACTCTCCTGGCGCGGAGAGTCTGGGCCAGTAACTCTCCCTCCCATACGTAGGCGGACCTATGATCGCCCTGTAACACTAATATCTCATCGGAGACAGATCCGGGTTGCATAGGCGGCACGTCCATGTCATCTGCTATAAATTAAACAACATTAATTGTATGTTTGATCTGTAAATTAAATAATTATTTTTTATAATTATATAATATTTAATTGGACCAAGCTATTTAATTGGTCCGGGATCCAGGCTCGATATTTGATGCCCAATAGGACCAAGCTATCCTGAGTTCTTATGTATGTCAATTTTATTATTTTCATAATTTTGTATGTTTGTTTTGTAACTTAAATAATTAATTTTTATCATATTTAATTGGACAGAGTATATACATATGGGTTTCGGGCTCGATATTTGAGGCCTAGTAGCACCAAGCTATCCTGAATTCTTGTGTGTGTCAATTTTAATATTTTTATAATTTTGTATCTTTTATTTTGTAAATTAAATAATTAATTTTTATCATATTTAATTGGATAGAGTATATACCTATGGGTTCCAGGCTCGATATTTGAGGCCCAGTAACACCAAGCTATCCTGAATTCTTTTGTATGTCAATTTTAATATTTTTATAATTTTGTATGTTTGTTTTGTAAATTAAATAATTAATTTTTATCATATTTAATTGGATAAAGTTTTTGTTTGATCTATCAGTATAAAAGATACTTAAACTACAAGGATTCTACGCTAAAAAAGCTCTACATTTTACTACGCTAAAAGGACACTTGTCTTTAAGAAAATAAATAATCTAAACTAGATAAAAACAACAGATACATTTTAATCACAAAACAAACACAAAATACTAATATCTTAGTCGTGATAAAAATAACATACTAGTTTAATCGCAAAAAAAATACAAAACAACATGGAAACACATTCAAAACAACTAATATGCATTATTATACGAGTTTCGACATAAACTAAATCGGAATACCTCGATTTATGTTTTTCGGAAAGTCGATGAATTGAAAATTTGAGCCCGAAACGAGGAAACCACAGCAATAGAAGGCTTGGCTAGGATGTAAGACCTATAATCTTATCTTTTTGTGTGACGGGTGGGGTCCACTACAGTTTTTTTAGAAGGAAATTTGGGGGGGAGGGGGTCG